CTTCAGTGTCTTTTCTCAGCATCAGTTACGGACACTGTAGACAGGATGCTCTTACTACTTTCTATAGCAAAGGGCTACCCTCCACGCCAACCTTACCTCTATGCGCTCAAACTTCCCAGAAGTTGACATGCTGGGTCAGGAAATTTTCCTGTCTCAGCCTCCTGAGTGCAGGGATTACAGGCATGTGCCATCATGCCTGGCCTGTTTTGTTTTTCTTAAGGCTTTGGATATATAAAGCTAAGTTTCCCTAATTTTGTATCTTTCCCTCTTTCACAGGTTAAATGCAAGAGTTCCTTTTTCTAAGTATCTTTGCCAACATCAAGTGTCATCTTTATAAAAAAATACCTGTTTGATAGATGAAAATCAGTATCTTGTCTTCATTAGTGTTTTTTTAAATTGCTAGTGAGCTTGAACATTTAAGAAATGATTTTAGTCTTCTATTTCTTTGAGACTTGGCCCAATTTGTCTGACACCCCAAGGTCTGCCTTCCATGTGAGGCGAGCTGGCAGGACTGCACATGCAGGTGGAGGCTGGAGCAGGTACCCAGGGTGTGAAATTTTTCCATTAGAAATGAATTCTTTTGGTTTGTTCTCCCTCTAAGTTTACTTCTGAATATCAGACAAACTCACTCTAAAGTATTGACAAAATTCTGCTTTCTTTTTGACAAATTTTAGCAGCTAACAAAGAATATTAACAGTGCCATGGTTGGGTGGGTAGATCAGTTAAGGGATACTAAAGAGGAGGAAGGCAAAAAACAGGAGGTAAATGACACCCCACACTGTCCTCCTTGGGGTTTCGCTTAGGTCTGTCCTTATGTAATCTACCTCATTTTCTCCCAAGAAGATAGCAGTTAACTTGAAAGAAGGAAGGAAGGAAAGAAAGAAAGAAAGAAAGAAAGAAAGAAAGAAAGAAAGAAAGAAAGAAAGAAAGAAAGGAAGGAAGGAAGGAAGGAGCAAGTGAGGGAGGGAAAAGAGAAGGAAGAAGGAAGGTGTCTTAATCACTTTCCTGTCACCGTGACACAGTACCCAACACCCACAACTCAGAGGAGAAGAGGGTTACTGTGACTCATGGTTTCAGTCCACGGTCAGCTGGCTCCAAGGCAGGAACAGCACGGCAGAGGTGCAGGGCAGAGAGAAAGGTGCTCACCCCATGGCAACCAGGAGGCAGAGAGAGAAGGAAGGAGCTGGGACAAGAACACATCCTTCCAGGTCATGCCCCAGTGACCCACCGCCACCCAGGCCAATCTAGCAGCAAGTCAGCATGACGTCATCCATGGACTGATCCACTAATGAGTACAGCACCCCATGATCCAGTCACCTTCTAAACATGAGAATTTGGGGGGACATTTTAGATCCAAACCATAAGAAGAGAAGAAGGAAAGAAGGAAGGGAAGGAGCAAGAGAGGAAGAAGGGAGCTGAAGAAGGGTGGAGGATATCTGGACATTTGTTTGCTGTAAGTTTTGTAATGCATTCCTAGTGCTCTGCCATTCCTGATGTTCATTTATGTAATCAATGTACATCTTGAGCCCCTCCTGTGTGGGACCCCAGGCACTCCACAGGCCACTCTCAGTGTTTCATGGCACTCCCACGTTCTCTTAGTGGTTTCCCCTCCTCATGTGGCCGAGCAGCCTCCAGGATGTGCATGCTGAAGACCGGTAGTGCTGGGTCATGTGGCGGATGCATATTCAATTTCGTAACATTCTTGTACATCGTGCCTGTTTGCTTTCCCAAAAGGCGCGCCACACCTTCTTTCTCATATTTACCTCTGATGGATGCAGAACAGGGCAGCATCACTGTTTTGATCTGCATCTATCTGACTGCTGGGGATCTGGCCCATTCTGTACCTGTCAGTCTCATGCAGCTGAACAATCCCACAAGTGCCAATGGCCAGGCACCAGGGAAAGGACACCTCATCCGTTTTTAATCTGGATCTCATGCCACTTTCCTTGTATATCTGGTGGTCAAGCTTTTGTCAGTTTTAGACAAAACAAACGTCTCCCTGTAGTTTGGATTTATCTGGTAACTTTGTCTATGGCGTACTTCATTGGACGCCATGAAAACAAAATGGTCTTATTTTGATGATGTCAGAAAAATAACTTTTTGCCTTCTATGTTAGGCAGCGTCACAATGATCATTCTTTGATTTTGCTCTACCAGGTTTGCAGTTTCAACATTGACATTTGGGACTCTATTGAACTTCAGCGTTTCATGTGGTACAAAGTACTTGTCCAGATTTACTTTTGCCTCCACACAATGAGCTAGTTTTTTTTTTTCCAACACAGATTCTCTTTTACTACAGGTTTTATCATTTAGCACAGCAGCTCTGCTTGGCGACTGTTCTAGAACTAAGATGAGTCAGAGCTTTACAAACAGTTGCAGTCAGAAAATGTCTCCGTGAAACCTGAAGCCGGTGGCTCCAACATGACATCTCTGAGAGAGTTTTTGCTTGTGGCTCATGTTATGTGGAAGCCCAGGAGCAAGGGATTGACAGCGGCAGACAGGTGCTGGGTGATCCGTACATTTCCCTAAGGAGACAAGGCTTGCAGAGAGAGGACTCAGAGACCAAGAACATGCCTAAAATTCACTATAAATGTTGGGATATTTCCAAAAGAGTTATATGGCATCACACACCCCAGTTCACACAGGCTCTTCTAAAATGTACGTTGTAAAACTTGAGCATGGGTTAATACCCCAACCCTGGACAGCACCTGGTTCCCCAGTTGGGTGCTCATTTCGGAACAGCCATGTAGCCCCAGAGAGGGAGGGGAGGCAGCGGGACTGGACTGAATATGGCTCAAGTTTTAGAGCATGGCTCCTAGGGTTAGCATACTGGGTTCAAATGCCAGTTTGGTCACTCATCAACTAAGTGACCTTGGGGAGATTCCTGCCTGGGGGGGTGTTGGTGAGATAATCCCTATCAAGCACTTGGCCAATGCTGCTAGATACTGTGCTGACAGATACTAGTATTACCTAAACAGAAACAGTAAAAACCAGCTTATTGGATGATAGAACCGGCATTCCAGGGAATATGAAGAATGAGCAAGCTTTGGCTCCTGAAGACTTTGTGGTCTTCAGTGGGGTGAGACAAGCTACCAAACATTTCTACCATAAGAGGAAGCCTCATCTTTTTTTTCTAAGAAAGTTACAGTGTGTTCAGAGTTCAAAGAGTGACATATCCATTTGAGGAATGGGGGTGCAGCGTGGGTTCACGTGCTCAGAAAATGTTTCACGGAATGAAGCGGTGTTTGGAAATGGGTTGAGCAATGATGAAGGTCTTGGCAGAATTCCACTGTGGCCAGAGGGCAGATAAATAAGAGACCCGGAGGAGTTGGTAGGTTGGGCTGAGTCAGAGAAGATTTTGAAGGCTGGAATGGGGTTGAATTTAACCTGGCAGACAGGGTTACTTCACGCAGGCTGTACCTTAGGGGGATCAGATCAGGAGTGGTGGTAGAGGGGATGGGAATCAGAGCAGAGGGAGGTGCCCACAGGTGATTGTAGTCAATTAGGCAGACATAGGAGAGGTCCGAATGGCACCAGGATACTGGAATTACAAGGAGAGGAGCAAGGAAAATACAGCTTACTCTCTGCTACTCTCAAAACATTACCCCTGGTCGCCAATATGGGGGGCACACCAAGTAGTCCCCCAGTCCTCCACGGTCACTAGGTTGGTGTCCTACAACTGAATCCAATTCTGAGCCTACCCACCTGAGTTAGTGTCAGTTCCCACAGCTGAAAGGGCTCAGTTCCTCAAGTCTGACTCCCTCCAAAGGCCAGTCCCAGCTCCAGGCTTCCCCTGCTTCTGACCATTGCTGTAAAACGGAATTCCCACCACCTTTTCCTCAGATCCCATGACTTGCTAGAATGGCTCACAGAACTCAAGGAGTACTCATGTCTCCAGGTTTATGCTACAGTTTGGATACACTTCGTCCCCAAGCCGGCTATTGAATCCTTAATCAGCTGGAGAGCAAACCTATTCACAACAAAGGAATCTCTATGTTGTGCTAAAAGATGCACACAGAACCTAGGCCAGGCAAGGAAGGCAGCGAGGCTGGAGAGGTCAGGACAGAGACAGCCCAAGTGCTGTGGCTCTGCAAAGGTTTTGGCTCTGAGATCTTGAGATTTGGGCCAGCGGAGGGTCTTGAACTAAGGCTGATGTGTGGCAGGGTTTCAAAGGGATCACGTGGATCTCCGGTTGAGGGGAGCGAGTTGCAGGCTTGGGGAGGAAGTGGGACCGGGCCAGCTGGGTGTGAGATGTGCATCAAGGGCCCAGGAAGAGCTGCCCGGAAGGAGCCTCCCCATCCTCCCCTCCGTCGTTGTGCTCACACACGTGTGTACACACACAGTCCGCCTGTGACTCCCCAGGGCGGCGGCTGTTTCCAGCAAGGGATGCTCCGGAATTTGTCCCGCCAGAGGGAGCCTCGCCAGCCTTACTCTGAGGGAGGCCGATTCTCGCCAGCTGTGGCCTTCAGCAGCTGGATGTGGAATGTTCGGGCCAGAGGGAAGGTAGTTCAGGCGCAGAGGGGAAGGCGGGATCTTGAGCTCGGGGTGGGTGTGCAAAGCCATCGCCGCAGCGCGGCAGTGAACTGAGAAATGTGTATCAGTCACTGGGTTGCTGTTTGGTGAGGATTCAATTAAATATGTATATAAAATTTTGAATACTGAGCGCTTCATAAAGGGTTGAGGTGTATACGAATATCTTCTCTGCAGGAACCGGGTCCCTGGACAGCACCCGGCTCCCAGATGGAAGCTCATTCCGCGGCAGCCACGCACCTCCAGAGAGGTAGAGGAGGCGGCGGGACTGGATGCGGGTGACGAGTGGCATTCTTAGAGCACGGGTACCAGTCCACCGCTCTTATGGCACCGGCGAAGGGGCAGAGGAGCGGGCCGCTGGGTGCAGCTCTCCTCCGCGTCCCTCCCCCTGCGCCCGCGGGAACTGGGTTGCGGCCGCGCCCGGGAGGCGGTGCGAGGGGCGGTCCCGGGGCGGGACCCCAGGAGGACGCCTGGTCTAGCACCCCAGGCTGCGGCTGCCGGAGAGCTGGGAGCGAGGGCGCGGAAGAGGAGCGGTTCTTCGCCGACGATCCGCACTCCCGACCCTACCCGACCCGACGCGGGGCGGGCGGGTGTGTCCGCGCCATGGGCGCAGTCTGGTCCGCCCTACTGGTCGGCGGGGGGCTGGCGGGGGCTCTGCTGGTGTGGCTGCTGCGGGGCGGCCCGGGCGACGCAGGCAAGGACGCCCCTCCCGGGGAGGCCGCGGACGCGAGAGGCGCCCCAGGTACGTCCCAGCCCGGGTACGTCCCCACCTGCCGGGCGTCCCGGAAGAGGCGGAAGAGGGTCCGCTGGCGGTGTCGGGTGCCGACCCGGCTGCTGTCCTGCCAGGTCCGCCTGCGGCGTGCGCCCCGGGGCTCCGGGAACCAGGGCTTTGGTTTAGGGGCGTCCCATTACTTTTTAATAAAAATTTTTGCAGGACTGGGGCTCCAACTCAGGCCTCATGCATGTCAGGGAAGCGCCGGGCCCGTGCTGAGGCTACAGCCCACCCTGACACCTCTCTTCGACCCGCGTCCCCACCCTCGCGCCCCAAGCCGCGCTGGAGTGGGTTTCGGAACGCTGAGCTGCGAGCGCCTCCTGCTCCCAGGACGCGGCCATCGGGCGGGCAGAGCTCAGTATGGACTCCAGCCCTGGGCTGGGCGCTTGTCTGGGGTTCCGAGCTGTGCGGCCCCTGCAGCAACAGCGCAGGGCGCGCTGATCCCCGGGAAGAGATTCTCACCCGGGCCCCAACGCTGATGTGGTTCAGCCTGGACATTTCCAAGGCCGTTGGCCCAGCAGAGAGTGCCCTGGCGCAAATCTCTCCTTCCCGCACCCTCCCTGGCAAGCTGCCCGTGCCTGGACGGCGGCCTCGCGGTGGCAATGACATCTGTGGACTTTATTTTTAGTGGAGAGGTGATCATTTGAAAATCTGCCCTGTGCCTTTCCTGTGATTGCTGGGGGTAGGGTGAATCGAAAGTTCATTGAGCTCTTCTGTAGGCCGTCTCATGTTTTAGGTTCAAGAATTGGGAATTGAGAATAATATTTGTTGGCGGCTCACTTTCAACCCTACCTTTAGAGAGAGGCAAAATGAAGCAAGATTTAGGGCCGAAGATTTAGCTCAGTGGTTCCACCGCTTGCCTCGCAAGTGCAAGGACCTGAGTTTGATCCCCGGTACCAAAAAAAAAAAAAAGCAAGACTTGCCCTTCCGCATAGCTCACCTCAGTGATGGTCTTGGAGATTTCCCTTCCAGGGAGCTGCTGGGACTGTCAGCTGAGAGAGAAAAAAGTCTCTAGGGGACTTGGATTTGTACTTTGAAAACATTTTTTTTTTTATGTGTGTAGAGTGGGAAGGACAGAAAAGCCTTTTGTTTATTCTGAGGAGACCCTGATGTTCGTGGGATTGGCAAAGAGCAGTGAACAACATACGGCCTGTGCACCCCAGCTCCTGGCCTTCACTTCCTCCTTTTCTGTTGCCAAGCAAACACTTTACGAGTTGGCGGGGTGTGTGTGTGTGTGTGTGTGTATAGGGTCCTCTTCCGATTTTGGGGGGGAGTCATACAGCCCCTTGCTCACAGCTGGACTTTTTTGTTTTGTTTTGTTTCTGTGCTGAGGATTGAGCCCAGGGCCTCATGCTGAGTACATGCTACCGCTGGGCTACAGCCCCAGTCCTGGACAGCAGTTTTGGGTGAGGGAAGTGAAGCGCCTTGAGTTGACTGCTCGGCAGCATTGCCTGGGGCTGTGCGAGACCCAGGACAGGCTTACACTTCTGCCTTTACAACTTGCCACTGCGCTTACATGCTTAATGCTGCTGGATGTGTCTTTTGTTGCTGGGTATTCAGTACATGCATATTCTTAGGGCACAGTTGCAGGGAGCATATGAGGTACATAAATATGTACTTATTTCAATAGAGGAGTTGGACTGCAGATAGATCCATAGGAAAGCCTTCGATGGTGATCTCTTAGCCTGACTTCTTTTGTAAACTGCCTAACACTATCACATTTCCCTTTTATTTCTTAGAGCATCTTCAAGAAAGCAATGGACATTTGATCTCTGAGACCAAAGCAAAAGAAGCTTTAGGAAATGAAAGCCTGGAGTCTTGTGTGGAAGAATGGAGATTGCAAAAACAAGAGACCCCTGCTAAAGCGGCCCCATGTTTTACAGAGAAGCTGCCATCTAACAGCTTGCACGGCAACAGAGCTAAGACAGGGGGCCAGGCACGGTTAGAGGCTGAGGCTGCAGCCAGCCCTGAGGACTGGGAAATGGTGTCTAGGCACTTGTCCTGGGGAGATGTGAGCTTGGGTGGCAATCTTGAGGCTTCTGGGTTAAGCCTAAGCCAGGAAATGGACAACAAGAGCAATCTTGTGGAAGCAAGAGTCTGGGAAGCAGATGGGAAAAGAAAAAGTGCAGCTGCAGCATCTTCAGAGTCTGAGCAAGTTAGCGTCAGGTTTCAGGTGCATTACCTCACAAGCACGGATGTGCAGTTCATTGCAGTAACTGGAGACCACGAGAATCTGGGCAGGTGGAACACTTACATCCCACTCCACCATCACAAGGACGGGCTGTGGTCTCATTCTGTCTTGCTGCCGGCGGATACGGTGGTGGAGTGGAAGTTTGTGCTGGTGGAGAATGGGGGAGTTACACGCTGGGAAGAAGGCAGCAATAGACTCCTGGCAACGGGCCACGAGGATAAGGTGATTCACGGGTGGTGGGGCATTCATTAACGGTCTGCAGAGTACTGGAGAGGCTGCAGTAGACGGTGGAAGAGTCCAAGGCTGTGGAGCACGCTGAATAATTTAAAATAAAGGCAGCATGATTCTGAATTTAGCCATCAGAACTGCTGCAAATTCTCTAGTGGTTTTTGTGTAACGTGCAGAGATGTCTGTATGCAGGTAGTACTTCCAGTGGCCTCGGACTTCTTCCCTGTGGTGCTGGTTGACAGACTTGTGCTTGTGCATCATTACTCCGGGGTGTAGGCCTATTGAGGAGTGATTTGTCTGAACTTCAGGTGTGAAATCTGGCCAAGAAGCACACTAACTAACTAGTTACACAGGTTCAAGCTGGAGCCTGTAGGAGCTCCTTAGTCTAAGGGAGTAGCACGAGCCTCATTAGAAACAGCTGAGGACTGTTTTGAAGCTGATGAAATAAAAACGCTGGGCCTGGTGGTGCACACCTGTCAGCCCAGCTACTCTGGAGGCTGTGATGGGAAGATCTTGTTCCAGGGCAGCCTGGACAGTTCATTGAGAATCCCCCCAATCTCTCCCCTACACCTGCCCCCCCAAAAAAAACAGCTGAAAAAGTAATCTTTCTTGCATGCACATTTCACATTTTAAAATGTGAGCCCCATATGGAATCATATGGGTGAGAAAATACTGGGTCACTAGATGTGATTGGTGAGGATATGAACTAAAGCTCTAAGACTCCCAGTGGTTTTTGTCTGGTTTTACCTGTCAGCTATGGGTCTGAGGGGAGCAAGTATGTTCTTGTTGGTATAGAAACAAGGAGCCTAATCAGAGTTGGTCACCCAGGAAGCCAGCGTGGGAGCAGCCAGAGAGAAGGGGGACACAAATGGGGGTGGGGGTGAGCCGAGCGAGGTGGCCTGAAAGCCGCCTCCTAGAAACCAGGACGTGTAGGTGCAGCCTGGCTCCAGGGGGATGCACCCATCGTTACCCCAGAGCCCTCGAGGGTGTCTGTCACCACCCACCCCTCCACCAGGTCGACACACATGCACACAGGTACTACAAAAGCTGTTTGCTTCCGTCACCCTCTTTCCTCTCCTTTCATACCTGTGGCTTTCATGGGTGACAAATTTGTACAGGACAGTGATATAGAGCCCTCTCTTTGCTCTGAGAAGAAACACTTAGCTTTATATAAATGAACAAATAATAAAAACTGAATTTTAGTATCTTTACTCAATGTCTGAGTTGTCTGAATCTCAGTACCATAGTAGTCTAGATGTAAGATAAAATACTGATCGATGCTTTCTCCACTAATGTCAGACACAAGAAGGAAACATCAGGTTACAGATGAAGACTATGAAGAGCCTACTTTTCTCCTATCTTTGGAGAAAACGTTTATATTTCTTTTTGTTTTTTTTGTTTTGTTTTTGGTTCCAGGGATTGAACTCGGGCCCTTGTGCTTGTGAGGCAGGTGGTGGAACCACTAAGCTACATCCCCAGCCCATGTTTATATTTCTTTTGAAACTTTCCTTTTCACCTGTAATCCTAGCCCTTTGGAGACTGAGGCAGAAGGATGAGTTCAAGGTCAGCCTGGGCTAGGTGGCAAATTCCAGGCCAGCTTGAACAACACAGTGAGACTGTCTCAAAATAAAAACCAAAAATACTTTTGCTTGGTAGGAAACCCAGCATGCCTGTCCTTAAAAATGAGCCTTATATATTGAAATAACCTTTAGTAAGCCTAGCATCTACTGCAGAACAATGTATAATCTGAGTAAGATCATCTTTGCTGAAGAGAACAAATCCAGCCACAAACAGCATTAGGAAGTACTTTGCAAAACTGCAACAGTTTTTGCCCTCAGCACCAGTCTGTTAAATTCAGAGGTGCTGCTGGGTGCTTCCTAATGACTTTGGTGTTGCACAAAGAGCTCTTACAACTGATGTGCAGAAGGGCCAAGCACTTGCGTGAGAGAAAAGGTAAAACAATTTAAATGAAAATCTTTTTGGGAGTGTATAGTCATTTTGCCTTTATCTGATAAAGTAAAAATCCCTCGCTAAAGATTATTAAGAGATATGGATTATTACAATTTGTATTTTAAAAGGTCATCATTTGAAGTCAATGTGCCTTGAATGTCTGCCATCCTGAGCACAGCACAGGGCTTTCCTGGGGCCACTGTCTTGCTGGAGTGCCAGGGAGCAGTGGGTGTTCCTGGTGTGGGGCTGCTCCCACCTCGCAGTCTGTCCCCAGGCTCTCTTCTGCCTTGTGTCACTGCCCGCCCTGAGGACCCCGTCACCTGCTTGCAGGCCCCATAGGAGGGAAGTCATCTGAGAAAACCCTCAAACACCTACTAGCGCTTTGGAGCTGAGAGTGCGCCCAGCGCTCATCCCACCATGCTGCTATGACAACTTGTAGGGGGCCACGGCTGGGCGCAAGGTGGGCCTGGGACGCAAAGCTTCCAGCCAGACAGCCTGTCTTGTGTTTCTCAGGGATAGTCCTGTGCCAGGGAGCAGAAGCACAGGTTCTCTTGGTTAGCTAGCTTCTGCCATATTGTCCCTGATATTTTGGCACAACTGAAACATTTCTGTATCTGATTTTCTTATCTCATGATTTGGTTCACATTCAAAATCCCCTAATTTATTAAAATCTAATTAAGGCAGATGGAATTAATTCAATCTAGAAGTTACCCATGCACTTGTAAAGAGCAACAAAAATAGTTTCTTTAGTTATTAATATGTGAAAAGAGAAACTTGTAAGAGTTTTGATTGGGGGCCCCAACTTGCTATCTAATTATCTTCACTGCACTAGAATAAACAGTTCAGGGTCAAGGAAGGACCATCAGTAGGCTGGAATTTGACCTTCTGTTGGGGCATTATACCACGACACTTCATGTGAAAGGAATGTTTACCTTGGGATTTTTTTTTTAAGCTAGGAAAAAGTGATTATTGTAGCAGAACCAGGAAACATAAGAATTATTCTAATACAATGGAATTAGCACCAAGTAATACCTTATACTATGAATATTTTCAAATCATGCTAGTACTGTTCATAGTTTTAGTGTGAGAGCATTCAGGAATAGTTTATTTCAAAATTCTCAAAACAGTTTACAGGACAGGGTATCGTTTATTAAATTTTCACATAAAAAGAAAAAAGTACACAGGGCACTAATTATAAGTAACATCACAATGGATGGGACATCATCCCTCTGTAAAGACAGGCAAGTAAGGTGTCATTTTAGCAACATTTCTTTCCTGGTCCTTCACCTTCTGTATCCTCTTTTTTGATTTCTGATCATTGAAGACATTGCTGAAAATGTTGATGAAATAAAGTTAGAATAGCAAAAAATTGACTTAGGTTTTTAATTCTATTATGTGCTTCTTACATGAGCTGCTTGTTAGTATAGAATAAATACAGGTTAAACTCAAGTTCTTAAACATTAGTGTGGCATATTTACTTTTCAGTTGTTTTAAACATGCAGGATAAGATCAGATGAACACAACTGTTATAAAACAATGCATAATTCAAACACTTCAGGAGAGTACAAAAGAGAGAAAAGTTGGTCTTTGTCTCTGCTCCACCTGCCAAGACAGAGGTCATTCTGTAAACAGTTTGATGAATTTCTGCACACACATGTGAGAAAGGTAGTCTTTTCTGTCAAAGGAATACTTAACGTAACTATTTTACACAAATCTCTATTTTTGTAAAGTGTACATGTGCTTGTTTCATCATCCCTTAGCAAGACAATTTAAGAAAAAGGGGCATGTGCTGGTCACCCTGCCAAAAGATTTTGTGTGTCACAGAGATTCCTGTGTCATGGGCTCTGTTCTCAGTGCCTTGAGAACTGGCCAGTCGGGTTAGACTGTAAGGCTATACTCTCACCATGGGCACGGCCTGGTGAGTCAGGGAATAAAAACCCAGCAGACTTCTTGGGTGTGCGGGCTGGCTTTGTGTAGCATAGCGATGCATCCTTCTGTAAAGCCTTACTGAAAATCTTTTCAAAAGTCGGCTTGCTTTTGTACTGTTTGTTACATCAGAAAATTTATGTCCAACACGCACAAGTTTACTTCTTTACACAAATGCAGATATGTGTAGTTTGCTTTTTTCGCTTAACCACATATCGACATCTTTCTCAGGTTTTGTTCTGACTGTGCAATATTTCATTGCACAAATATACCAAAATATTAGTAAATAAACTTTAGAAGGTTGGTTTCTTACTCTTTAATAGATTGCTACAGTAAATACTTTTTATATAGACTTCCGTGTGTTTTACTCTCATTTCTTATAAAACAAATTGCTAAGACTGGAATATTGACTCAAAGAGTCTGCATACTTTGGTGCAGAAAGTTTTTCGTCTAGTGCTGGGGATCAAGCCCAGGGTCCTGTAGGTGCTGAGTGAATGCTTTGTTAGTACGAGACACCCTAACCCCCGTACTTTGATAAAATGCTTCTGAAATTTTTTCCAAAAATGTTTGTTCAGAATTTCCATAAAATGTCTCACTCAGGCATTGCATCCAATCCAAAAGTACTTACACAGTTTAAGCGAATGTAATATGTCTTCCATTTTGATTATTAGAGGATGGCACAGATCAGATAACTCAGAAATACAAGTCAAAGTGAATTAAAAATAGGGCTAATGAAATAATACATCTTCCTTAAAGAGTGAAGCCCGCCTCACAATAAACTAAAGATGAAACACTTATCTTAATGTTTACATTCGTAGGGAGCTGGTGCTACCAGAAAGGATTTAGAAATTTCTGAATAAAAACATGATACTGTGTAGCCTTAGTGCAAGTGCTCTAACAAACGTGAATTTTGGAGTCGAGCCCCAGCACTACTACTCATTGTGTGACACAGAACTCTTTGACACTGCTCTTCCCTTCAGGTGCGCAGGGTTACTGTGAGGACCACAGGGAGAAAGGGAAATATAAACAAGAAGTCCCCTCCAAAAGTGCACTGTACCTTGGTTCTTCAGCTGCAAATCTTCTACCAGGGTGTGCAGCTTTCCAGCCTGGCACACAGGATGCTTAGTAAGTGCTTGAAGTAACTATTATTAGCAATAAGACTAAATTTATTTTATAAATATTTGTTCTTTAAAAGATATTTTTCATTCACCTAAGCAACTCACATTCTCTAGGGATGAAAAGGTAGAATAACAGATGTACACCAATATCAGTCTCTCTGAAAAAGACTCCCACAATGAAGAATTTATGTCAAGAAAGGAGGAAATACAATAACCTTTCCCCTCTCCAGGGCCCTCAGAACTTAAGCCAGAGGGCTGGCCATCACTGCAGATTCTAAGAGCTTCCATGCAAATAAACAGCTTTAGTATTTTTAGAGGTGGCTTATCGTTCTATTTTGTGATCCACTGGGTGGCATAGTCTCTCATACCACTGTGTTCATTTACATTCCATGTCAGCTAAATACCATTATCTCATTTTTTGGCTATGGACTATAATTCTATCTTGGTGACCATCATACAGACACTTGTGTACAGAGGTAACAGGGATAAGTGTGTGTGTGTGGGCAAGTTCCATGTGAAAAAACAGTCAACCCTAGCTGAGGGCTGGCTGGCAGGATTATCACCCTGACAGAGGAGGGCAGGGTTACTGGGACCTGCCCAGGGTCCAACAATTAAACCAGGGCCTGGCTATGCACTAGGGTTCAAATCCTCATGTTTTGAGGAAGGTTTCTGAATTGCAGATTCAACAGCTTTTGAGTGGGACAACAGATAGGAAGGAGGCTTAACCTGAAGGGAAGGGAAGGGAAGGGAAGGGAAATATAAACAAGAAGTCCCTTCCAAAAATGCACTGTACCTTGGTTCTTCAGCTGCAAATCTACCAGGGTTTGCAAGCTTTCCAATATATTCTGAAGTTTCCTGCATATTTTCCCTGTTGTTTCTACTGGCGGAGACTGTGAATCTATTAGAAAGTTGCTTAGATGTGGTATTAAAAGTCTACTTGATATTTTTTAGAAATGTTCTAATTATAAAGAGCTATTCCTTTAAAATAAAGAACTTAAAACTTCTAACACTTTTAAAATGAAGAAAAAAGTCTCCTGTCTAAATATCGCATCAGTAGCCTAACTGATTTTGTTTCAAAACAACATGATTTACTGTTATTTAACTACAGAGTAGTAAACTGGTGGAGGGAGAAGAGTATTTCCAGTCTGATGCCACTCAGCAGTGGTTAGCGTTCACACCAAACCTGAGGACTTCTGCAAGCCCAGGATGTGTGGCAGCAGGATCTAACTCAGACCCTGGCACCACTTGGGAACGTGTGAGGCCTGTGCCTGATGCCGTCACCTGAACAAGGGTGGTACTGTGTGTGACAGAACAGTGTTTTGTGGATTGAGTTGGCCCCAGGGGACCTACAACAAACAAGGCAGTAGCAACTTAAGAGGGCTGAGGAATGAAAATACTTGCCAACAGATATGAAAAGTTCTGTCAATCTCTAAAAATATTTAATTTGATGAGCTGAAGATTTCAATTAGTTTCTTCTTTTGTGCTGTTGGAGACTGAACATTTAGGGTCTTGCACATGCTAGGTGAGCTATATCCCCAGTACTTGAAGATTTTCATTTGATTTTAACCCCTGAACAATCTTTTTTTTTTTTTTTTTCCGTACTGGGGATTGAACTCGGGTCCTTGTGCAAGCGCAATGCAGGCCACCAAACCGCTGAGCTAAATCCCCTACTCTCCCCTGAATAATCTTGACAAAAATTTTTGTTGGCTTTCCTATCAAATACCATATTTTTCATTATAGATATTAAAAGGGTGGGGATTTAGCACAGTGGCCACGTGCCTGCCTGGCAAGTGTAAGGTCCTGAGTTTGATCCCTAGTACTGGGAAAAAAATTCCTACTCACGATAGATATTAATATTAAAGGCAATGATATAGTAACTATTTTAATTCAAGAGGAGGAAGAATTTCTTAAAGTTTTCACATGAAAGGTATAAAATGTTTAATGAGCATCTGGGATGGGGAGCAACATGCCACGTTCCTACATAACACCAGTTTTATACCAAGGAGACAAGCAGCATGGTCTATGGCTGCATGACCACTGCCCTATGTGGTAAATGACTTGGTACTGTAAATTTTGAAAAATACTAAATGAATAGCTTTGAGACATAAGAGAAGGAAAAACAATGCAAAAAGTTAAAAAAAAAACAAAACACTAAAATGTGATTAAGTTCTGATTTTCATTTTTACAGCACAGAATTTCAAAAGACTAAGAACCAACTTGACAGGGATTCCAACAGCTCATCTGGTTTCTCCTCATCATGGGGATGAGCCCCGGGGCACTGCTGTGACCTGTTCATGGTCACGCAAGAGGAGAAACACTTCAAATTCCATTTAATACCCATGTGTTTATCAGGCATTCTTGTAAATCAAATAATTTTTCCACTTGTCTTATCAAATAACACATAAACTTAAGATTTTAAAAATGAAGCCAGACACAGTGGTTCATGCCTGTACTCCTAGCACTGAGGGAGGCTGAGATAAGAGGAACACAAGTTCAAGTCCAGCATAGTGAGACTTAGTGAGACCCTCGTCAAAATAAAAATTGCTAGTGTTAGAGTAGCTCTGGGTCCCATCTCCAGTGTCTTTCCCCACAAAATTAAAAATGAGAAATTTGACAAACTTGTACGATAAACATTAGCACTTGGAAACTCAGAGAGTGAAGGACAGCATGTTTTAAAGAATGTAAATAAGACAGAAAAATCACTCATGGTAAGTAAAAGAACTACAGTCTTACAACAGAGGGAAAAAAGTTCCTTATTCATGTCAGAGAAAAATAGAATCTTTACATCTAATTCCTACATTTTGCATATTTGTACCCAGAGCTATTGCATTCAGACAAGACTGCATGAGTTCCCTAGCAGTGATCAGAGCCTGCATATGAGAGCAGCACACACAGCCTTAGCGATTGTGAGCATGGAAAAGAATGTACAAGTCGGCAGCGAAAGGCTCAATCGGTTCTATCAGCAGTATCAGATGAATCTTACCTTTAGCAGAATCAGGTGAGGGAACAGTTTTGGTGGATCTGTACTGTGTCGAGGAACCTACTGAATCTTCAGCTGAATTCGTGAGCAGCGAGTACATTGGAGACTTCTTAGGGGAAGTGAATGATTGGGAAGCTGAGTTTTTCACAGATGGGCTCGCTACAATTTTGCAAGAACAAGAGTAAAAAATGGAATTAATTAAAAATAGTATATTGCATCTCTGAAGAAATCAACTTTGATGATGTTTCCAGTGATGGGGCAGAGGGGAGAGGGTTATGTTTGGTAAACACACAGGGTTTCCAGTTGGAACTGAAAGGTCTGTGTCTTCACAGGGGCTGAGCCTCCGAGGTGGGTGGACAGGAACTTGACTTGCCTGGCGGGATCCTGTGCTCCAGATCCAAATTATAACGCCTGGTCTGATAAAATTCATCTGGGACCGCTGATGAGCTTAGCTATCTCCCAAAACAAATACGAACGCTTTCTAGAAGAGGGTAACCTGATTCTCAGTCTCAAATCATCTGTAAAATTTTTGCCATATACCGTAAAGTGCTAGATAGTAAAAATTGCCAGGGATATCAAGAAGACAAGATAACATGGAATTAAACCAAGATAAAAGTGTATAGATGATAGGTATGGATCCACGAGGTCCACATGCTGGAGATTATAAGCACAGATTTCCATAGTTTTAGAGGTTTTTCTCCAAACCCCAGATAGGTTCTACTTGTATAAAGAAATTAATTTGCATATATCAATAAGAACTACTAAGACAAGCAACGAAAGACAAGACAATCCTACAGCTGCCAGAAGAGATGGGCAGAGGGGAGGGATGAGGAGGCATATAACATTTGAATGAGCAGCAGTTAAACTTACAGTTGACTTCTTAGGAAAAATGATGGAAGCCAAAAAACAAAGTAATGATATATTTGAAGTGGAGGAAAAAGTGTCACCCTAGAATTCTATGCTCAGCAAAAAATTTTTTTTTTCAAAAATTGAGGATAAGGGCCAGGGATTTAGCTCAGTGGTTCTGGCACCTGCCTCAAAAGTGCAAGGACCCAAGTATGATCCTCACTACAAAAAAAAAAAAAAAAAAAGAAAGAGAGTATAAAAATATACACAATTTCAGAAACTGAGACAATTTATTACCTATAGACAAAGAAAATATTAAAGGCGTAAGTAAATTATACTAGTTGGAAAATACAGCAATAAGTATATATAAATAAATGATGACTATACAAAATAATACAACCTACTATGGTTATATTTATAATTAAAACGTACAACTACATTAGGGTAGTGAATGGAGTCAGTGGGTTCTAACATCCTCACAATATATGAGAAAAAGTAAAAAGCACTCATTCATGTTAATCAAAAAAGACAAGGATAATGATTATTCTTTTGTCCTAAGTAATCATTAATGGAGAAAAATATAACTGAAGTAAACTTAAAGAAATCAACATTATATAAATGCTCTTTGCTTTGATCATTAGTTTCAAGATTTCACCAATCAAAAATGATTAAAAAATTAAGAATTTGCATTTATTATAATTAAGACTGTTATGGTTTCATTTTAGATATATTAATACTTTTATTAAAAAAAGAAAAGATGTGGGAACTTATCTTCCTTCCATCTCTTTTCAATTACAGTTCAATGACATTGTTTTTGTTTTTGTTGTTTGAGACAGGGTCTCACTATGTAGCCCAGGCTGGCCTTGTACTTGCCATGGTCCATCTGCCTCAGCCTCCCCAGAGCTGGGATTACAAGTGTGTGCCACCCTGCCTATCCCTATTTACATTATTACTGTCCAGATTTATAACTATGCTTTTGCTGAATATTATTTTCAGTTTGTCTTTTCCAATTATTTTATTCTGTTCCATAAGAAAATCGATTATGTGTCTGTTGGTTTTCTTTTGCTTACTAAATCTAACACATCCTGTAATTTTTTTCCTTCCTGGTTTAAAAAATTCCTTTTGTGTAATTTTCCCTCTGGCTATGCTTTACAGTCAGGCCTATTCCATCTTATTTTTTCCCTCCCTCCCTTCTTTCCACTTTTCTTTTTTTTGGGGAGTGGTGGTGGTACTTGAGAGTAAACCCAGGGATTTCACAGTGAGCTACATCCCAGCCCTTTTTAATTTAATTTTATTTTTTGTACCAGGGATCGAACTCAGGTCCTTGCACTTGCAAGGCAGGTGGCAGAACTGCTGAGCTAATTCCCCGGCCCTACCAGCCCTTTTTTAAAAACACAAGCTTATACAGGGTCTTGCTAAGTTACTTAGTCGTGAGCCTAGGCTCAAAGTTGTGATCCTCCTGCTTCAAGTCAGCCTCCCAGCATGTAGGCCATTGTGCCTGCAGGAGCTTGTTTTTCTACAGATTATCTCATCTATAATTCCTTGGAAATGATAAAAGACATTTGTCTAGTTCTCCTTTTCCTTTCAGCCAGTCCATCAGTATTTGTTGAGCACCCACTTTGTGCTGGGAAGGTTCTGAGCTGTATCAGGGGAGCAGATAGTTAAAGGCTGGTGACTCAGTGCACGCTGTAAACTGCTAAGTGACACAGTATATTAGAAGATGATTTCAAAGGAAAAGTAAGAGGGGACTGCAAGTGTGGACAGGTTGTGACTTTAAAATGAGGTGGTTCGAACCAAGGCTCACGGGGACAGAGGAATCAGAGCACAACTCTGAAGGAGGTGAGGGTTTGCTTTGTGCGGAGCACGGTGCGCGCTCACATGGGCATGGAACTCTGGAGCTGCTGCAGGGAAGTGGCCGGGCAGCCCAGTAAGAGGTCAAGGATGGACAAAGCAGATGGATGGAGAAAGGAGAAGCAGGAAACAAGCCCAGAGACTTAATGGAGAAGTGCAGGTTATGTCAGGACCTTTGCCTTCACACTCATGGGAATGGGAGCGCTGCAGGGCTCTGCAGGCCCCATTTCTGTGTCCACTGAAAACTCACCTGTAGACGGGAATGTGAAGCAACTTGATGGATCTTCCAGTTCTGCATGTAACAGGACTGGCTCCCTGGAGACGTAAGAACAGTCATGTGAGCTTTCTGGTTCACATACAGCAGCAAGAGCTATGGACAGAAGCAACTACCCAGCACTTGTGAGGGCCGAGACCACACATCAGGGTGCCGAGTACAACCCCAGGCCTCACAAGTCCTAAAACGCCCACAAGGGAGATGCTAAGTTGTTCTATCTTACTGCACTCGGTGCCCATGAACATTTTACAAGATGAAAGGAATAATATATAATCGATCAGAAAATTCATTTTTGTGTAATAATAGCTATATATTCAAATATGCTTTTGTTTTTTTGGTACCAGGGATAGAACTCTGGACCTTGTGCTTGCGAGGCAGGCGGCAGCACCACTGAACTAAATCCCTGGCTCTTTCAAATATGTTTTTCATGGATTCTAAGAACAATCTTTTTTTCTCCCCCCTTGTACCAGGGATCAAACTCAGAATCTTGCACCTGCCAGGCAGGCGCGGTACCACTCAGGTAAATCCCCACCTAAGAAGAACAATTTTAATGACTCACTTTAAAACAAAGAAACCAAGACAGTAACACCAACAAAATTCTCTTAGCATTATCAGTATGTTTATAAAACTTTAAAGGTTAATTAAATCAACACGTTAAAGCACACAGGTATTGGGGCCAGGGATTTAGCTCAGCGATTCGGTGGCCTGCCTCGCAAGCGCAAGGACCCGAGTTCGATCCCCGGTACAAAAAAAAAACCGATCTCTGTGGGTTGAGTATCAGTCGGAGGTACACTGATAGTTCTCAAGGTAGTTCTCTTTCAGGGGGTTTGTGAAGTTAAAGTTAATTGCATTGCAATACTAAGACTGTGTGTGTGTGTGTGTGTGTGTGTGTGTGTGTGTGTGTGTGTGTGTGTGTGTGTGTGTGCACGCGTGCACGCGTTACTTGTGATTGAGCCCAGGGCCCTCAAATTGAGCTACATCCCTGGCTCTTTTTTAAATTTTTTTATTTTGAGAGAGGGTCTTCCTAAGCTGTTAAGTTGCCCAGGCTGGGCTGGAGCTTGTGATCTCCCTGCCTCAGCCTCCCAGAGTGTTGGTGTCAGGTCAGAAAGAACTCCCTGGGGAAGGTTAAAAGACCCTAGCCCTTTTCAGAGGGTAGAAAATATAGGCTCTGGGCAGCAGGTAGTTCCCAAGCAGCTTTGTGGTTCGCAGCTGACAGTCTGTCTCTGACCCCTGCCTCTGTGCAGGCAGCACTGCCCCTCCTAGTGCATGCAGGCTGCCATGCCTGTCCCATTCCCTGTCAACCCACAAGACCAAACTCCTATAAGCCCAGTATCCAAGCAAACAAGTGTCAACACTCAAAGGGGTACAGACACCCCTATTTATTCCCCATGCTATGGCAGAGGGAGGAATGTAAGGACCGTGGGAAGGGTAGATAAGCAGAAATGTTGGGCATGGCTAAGGTGACATGGCTGATGGCTATAAAAATGACTACCTGGTTACTGGAAATTGCTCTTTGTGAACCCTTATAGGTGTAAAAGTTATTCTTAGAGACCTGCTTTTGTGCACTGGAGACCCCCTAAAACTCCATAAAACCTTTGCCCATCCTAGCAACAAGACCACCCCAGCAACAAAGACTAAGATTCTGATTGGTTTAAAATTCCTCTAAAAATGGTCAGAGCAAGGACACCATCCAGGGTAGCTCAGCTTTTGAGCTCTCCCTGCCCAGCAAACTTGCTGCTCAGCAGCTCTGTCCCTGCCTTCATGATAAACCTCTTCTTCACACTATTTGTTTCCTGAGTTCCTCATTCTTCACTGGACAACCTAGTGGTTCTTGGGCTTTGGGTCAACCTCACTCTCCCCCTGCATTCCTCATCTGGGGGAGAAACCAAGGAATGAGAGGATCTCGCAACTGGAAATCCCTCAGCCTCTAGACGACCGCCCCCATGACATTACACTGGAATTACAGGTGTGTGCCACATACCTGGCTCTGTTATTTGCTTAATTCTCCCTTTCACAGATATATATGAGAGTTTCCAGAAGGTCAATACCAACATACACATTTATGAGATTCTAGCTGCCTTTTATTTAGCTGCCAAACTGTAAAACAATTCTCAGTGTTTTTGAGAATACAGATTTTGTTCGCGATAAGACACAGTATAAGTATACAGTAACCTCCATGCTGAAGGAAGCAGATCTTTCTAGTCCTGGCAGAGCTCTGGCTACCTCAGGAAAGCAGCTGCTCTCTGCTTCTGACTGAGTTCCTTCCTGAACACTCAGTCCAGGTCCCCTGTAGCTGTAGTGGCCACAGTGTGTACTCTGGAGCCAGCCAGACCAAGTTCAAATATGAGCTCCTCTGTTTATGAGATGTATGACCTCACCAAGTCTGTAAGTAATCTGAGTCTCCGCTTCTAATCTACACATGGACAACAGTGCCTCCCACATAGATCAGATTAGATACAGGTCATTCAAAAATAATCATAAAAAGGAAAAATAAAAATATGCAGTTGAAGGGCCGGGAATTTAGCTCAGTGCTTCCGCCACCTGCCTCACAAGCACAAGGACCCCAGTTTGATCCCCAGTACCAAAAAAAAAAAAAAATGCAGTTGAGAAAAAATGTTCAACATCACTAGTTATACAAGAGATGAAGATGAAAACAACACTGAGATTCCATCTTAGTCCAAAAAGAATGGCTGCTACCAAGAAACCAATCAATAACAAATGCTGGTGGGGTTGTGGGGAGAAAGGAACCCTTCTCCATTGTTGGGAGAGTAGACAGGTGCAACCTCTCAAAGAACTAGGATTGGAGGTCCCATTTGATCCAGGAATTCCTCTGCTGGGTATCTTCCAAAAGAATTGAAAAAATCATACCACAGTCATATATGTGCACCCACATTCATAGCATAGTTTGTAATAGCTAAAACTTGGAAACAGCCCAATTGCCCAACAACTGGTGACTGGATAAAGAAAATGTGGTTTTTCAAAATAAAATGGAGTACTATTCAGCCATAAAGAACAAGAAACTAGAGACATTTATAGCTAAATGGATGACACTGAGGCCATACTCAAGTGAAATAAACAGGACGCACATGTGTAAATACCAAATAGTTTCTCTGGTGTGAGAAACTGAAAGTGTAAATGAGGATCAAAATGTATAATAGATAATGTGAAATAGGGAAAAAAGGTCTGAAGGGGAAGGGAAAGTGGGAGGGGTAGGGAAAAGGGAAGAAAGGAAAGGAATAAATATGAGAAAAGGAAAAAACAGAAACAAAGTCTGTAAATAGGGAGAGGTTGAAGGGAGGGCAGGGGAATGGGGGAAAACAAAAGACAAGATATAACATATAAAGGTACAATTTCCTAATGATGAATGTCATCATATTGTATACTTAAAATATACCAATAAACTTAATGAATAAAAAAAAGAAATCAATGGAAAAAATATGCAGTTGATAGTATGATTATTATAAATAGGTACAGGGTAGTGGTTATACCCACATAAGGAAATCAAGATGGTATTTCTTTTAGGCTAAGGGAAAGATGTTTACAAAGATTCTAGTTCTCTCTGTTGTGATCAAGTAGGGGAGGCAGTGAGCAGGTATGTATAATCTGACTTCATCCATTCACTGAACCATTCGCTGAAGTGTTCCTGGGGAGCGGAGCTGAAGGCAGCACTAAATCCCCACTTGACCGAAATGCAAACACAAAAACCATCAGCACCCTTTGAGGAGACAAAGAGGGCATGGACAGTTCCATTTTCATAGGTGGTGAAAATGTAAAAGATAAAAGTAAGGTATTTCCAGGCCATCAGGCAATGAACAGACCTCCAGGCTGTAAGCAACTCTGAGCAGAGCCCATGCCCGCCCATGCTGCTCACTGTTGAGTTCAGGCCCCACACACTGCAGGGGAGGCAGTAGTGCTCTTTTGAATCAGATGGCCCACAGTACTAAACTGAGGGCTGGTACAATCATTTCTCACCTGCTGAGAGTTCCACTGGACTTGCTCCCTTCCATGGAGTCCCTTAATGAGTTGTTGCTTCTATTGGTGGAAAGCCAGGAGAAACTGAAGAGCACACATTACTTTCCTACCAATCTAATATGGGTTTGTGAGAGAAATAATTTATTCTTGTTTTTTATTTTATTATTCACTTATTTATTTTGACACTGGGGTTTGAACCTGGGACTGGATGTATGCTCAGCATGCATATTACCACTGAACTACACACTCAGCCCAATTTATTTTTATGCAGGGTAAATGACATTATCTGCTAGCTGGATAGGAAGGTCATAAAGTGCGAGCCTTAGGATAAAGCAAAACTGTTTGTGTGAACATTAATTTCAGAAAGACACAGACTCCAAAGAGTAAGTACTCTTCCAGGGAAAGGAAATAGTATGGAGAAAAGCTTGAAGATAAAATAAAGGAACTTTTGGAAGTCAGGAGGAAACTGGTTTATCAGAGCCTAACAGAGCTGAAAGCAGACTCCAGGAGGAGGTCTCTGCAGCCTGAGGAGCCGCACACTTCTAATGTCACAGACAATAAATACCAAGATTTCTAAGCATTGTCCTCTGTGACTTCTATATATCTCGAGTTAATAATGGTCTTTTTTTTTTTTTTTTTTTTGCTCACATTTGTTCTAAGCTGTCTTTTAAGAATCTTATTTAGCCTTTCTTTCTGCTTTCTTTGTCATTGTCATTGTTGTTTTTTTCAGACAGGATTTTGCTATGTAGTTCAGGCTGGCTTTGAACTCACCATATAGCCAAAACTGGCCTGGAACTCATGGTGATCCTCCTGCCACAGGCTCCTGAGTGCTGGGATTACAGGCATGTACCACCACACCTAGCTTTCTTTCTGCTCTTTTTAATGGTTTCACTTAAAAATTCAGCTATTCATTACTGAATTGTTTTCAGTAAGATTATTCTTTTAACTTCATATATAAACTATCATATCCTAGACCACTCTTCAAAATTACTTTACAAGCCATTATAAATATGTAAAAGATGTAGACAAAGTCATTGCCTTCCCAAGACCACACAGCTTCCTGTAGTTAAACATCAGTACCATAGTTTGATCAGTGTCCCCCAAAGGTCCTAAGGGACAGTGGTAGAGCCTTTAGGAGGTGAGAGCCGTAGGTTACAAGGGCAGGACCCAAAGGAGACTGTGGGATCCTGGCCCCTTTTTATCTCTTCTGCTTCCTGGTAATGAGGTGAGCCACAGCTCCCCTGTGAGGCCACACCACTGGTGTCCCATAAGAGGCCAGTATTGGATTAGAACCTGCTGAACTATAAGCTAAATAAACCTTTATTCTCTTATAAATTAAGTACTTCACATATTTTGTAATAGTGAATCGAAGCCAAACTAGTCAGCAAAAAAGCATCAAGTTCATATGAAGCTGATTTCTGGAAAGTAAATTTGTACATTTAATTGAAATATTTTTTTAGACTCAGACAATGTAATAGCTTTCCTTCATGGACCAAAATGTCTGCCAAGTTCCATGAAAATCATCCAACCAGACCCTCCCATTTAACCAGGCCACATAAAAATCCTTGGGTAATTAATTAGATTTAGTATTGTACATTATTCTTACCTATGGCATATGTCTGATCTCAGGCTTGATTCGATGATGCAATCTCTTACCCTATCATCCCTGTTTAGACAAATACAACTCAATTAATTACATGCAGATCAATTTCTAGATTTGGTTTTCTTTGTGGGTTTTGTTTTTTTGAGACACCATCACACTATGTAGTTCAGGCTGGCCTTGAACTACTATGTAGCCCAGACTGGCCTCAAACTCAAGGTGATCCTCCTGCCTCAGTGTCCCAAGTGCTGAGATTATAGGTGTTGGTTACCACACTCAGCAAGACTGGATGTCTTTTAAAAATAATCAATTACTCACATATATTTATTTATTTTTTTGAGACAAGGTCTTTGTCATGGCTTGTATCCATTGTATCTAGATGTACATCCCCCCAAAGTCTCGCACAGTTATAGGTGGGGCTTTTCGGAGGTGGCTAGATCTAGGATGTGCCATGCTAGGATTGGGGGTGTGATACTGGGAGTAAGCATGCCTCACTGTGGGTGTAAACAGCACTAATCCATGGATTCACAGACTGGATTGACTATGAAGGGAGAGAGGGAAGACTCCTCTTGCCTCTGCTACTTCTGCTGCTTGCTGCTTTGCTGTCTCCTGCCTGCCTGCCATGGACTGTTTCTCCTCTGTGATGTCATGCTGCCCTGCCTCGGAGCCAGTGGACTATGGACTAGAACCTCTACAAACTGTGAGCTACAATAAACCTTTCTTTTTTTGTTAGGTATATTGTCTCAGCAATGAAGAAGATTACTAACACTCCTGCTATGTAGACCAGGCTGTCCTTGAACTCATTATGTAGCCCAAGCTGGCCTCAAACTTACAATTCTCCTGCCTTAACCTCCCACATTCTGGGATCACAGGCTTGCACTACCAAACCCAGATGTTTAACCCACAAGTGAGGGTTTTAGGCTTCCTGAATATTGAACAAAAAGCTACCTCTGGAATTCATCAAATCAAAAATGCTTTCTTTCCCCAGAGTCTTAAGTGCTAGGGAGAGTTTAGTTTTTAGTGACAAGATAATTTGTAAGATTACAAAAAATTAACAAAAACGCTTTAAAGACAAGGACCAAATATATTTATGTTTAAATAAATCCAATACAGTTCAACTGTATCATTAATGGCTGGTGTGCTGGAAACCTGTTCAGGGAAGTATGGTAATCCTATGAAATGATTGGTGCTGAGAATCAGTGGCTGGAACTTTTACTTCTGGTTTTGTCTTAGCTTTCTATAAGGAGACAAGTCAACTTATGCCTAAGATTATGCAACCGTCAAATGAGCTAATTAAAACTGTCCTGGCTTACAAGTCATACTACAGTCATGACAAGAGTGAAAGTGTTCTCCAAGTGAAAATACTCTGTGATGGAGGAGTCAGTGAAACATTTCTGACACTATGTGATTCTGATAATGTGAGTTACCCTAGGCAATTGGGCTATTTCTATTATAAATAACAATTAGAAACATCCAGCCAATATTTTGGTACCTTGGGATAGTATATATACACTAACTGAACATCTAAGTAACTGCCATATAACCAGAAATAGGCTATAATACTAAATATATTACAAAATACTATATATATTACAAAAATGGAACTATAATACTAAAATATATATATATATATATATATACACACCATATTAAAATGCTTTAAGATAAAGTAATCTAAATGACACAAAATACAATTTTAAAAACACTATTTGAAAAGACAATGAAAATGCCACTGATTTCTATAACTATGTTCAGGGAGGGTTAGGATTAGGGTACACTGGCCAAATACTTTTTTGGGTCTTATTAACTGGAGATAACTGGCCTTTCCTGTCGGCTTATACCTGGAGTGTTAGGAAGCTCTCAGAGTCCTAGTTTGTGTGCTGCAAGCAAATCAACCTCTGACACTGGTGTTTTTTTTCTCATTTATAAAATGGGATGAATGAACCCTGGACTCAGGTGGTTGCTGTGATATTCAGATGAGATTACGGATGTGAAATCTGCTGGGAATTATAAATTATTATGCAAATGTAACTCTAACACCTTCCACTGACAGGTGTCTAAACAGAACATATTACTTGCTCTTAATGCCAAGTTTGTTTTATTTTTGCTTAACTCCTCCACTTTTATTTGTTTCCCTGACAACTTCAGACATTCTCCAAAGTTATTTAAACCTCAACCTTCCAGAGACAGCTTTCCCCTCCTGAGTGCCATCCTACACAGCCACGCACAAGGCCCCAAGCGACGGTGCTCTCCCCTTGTCCTCTGCCTTGCTCAGCTGCACAGCTGGCTCCTCATTGATCACGCTTCTCAGCTCCTGAAGAAGCTGTTTCAGATCCTTTGTGGGGTCTTCCTTTAGTGTGGTGGTCTTCCCAGAGTGCTGAGTTAAAACAACGTACAGAACAATGACCCTTCTTTTCTCAGACTGTTTTTTTCTGTTAGAAAATTAATTCAACTGGTAAACAGAAATTATGGAAGAGTAAGAAGAGGAAAATAAAAATCACCCGAAATCTTAGTACAGAGGGATACCCAGGAATAATAATAATCAATACAGAAGCTGGGTGTGACAGCACACACTCCTAATCCCAGAATTCTGGGATTCTGGAGCAGAGAATCAAAAGTTTAAACCCAGCCTAGGCAACTTAGTGACTTAGGAAGACTCTGTCTCAAAAATTAAAAAGGGTTGGGGATATAGTTCAGTGCAAAGGTCCTGGGTTCAATCTCTGGTACTACAAAAAACAAAATCAATACAGCACTATCAAACTATATACATTTATTTTTGGGGTTGGGAATTTAGCTCAGTGGTTCTGCCGTCTGCTTTGCAAGTGCAATGACATAAATTCGATCCCTGGTACCCCCCCCAAATTATATACATTTATTTTTAAACTTTTATTTTTTAATTTTAACAATGTAGTATGAACAACTTTACCATGCTATTAAATATTTCCAATTACATATAGGCAAAATAATTTTGATATTTTGTTTCAGGCTGAACTAATTTTATAAAGCAACAGAACTCTACAGAACTCTTTAAAAATGTGCAATCTATCCCCCACATTTTACTTATGGGAAAAGAGACATCCAATATTTCTCAGTGCTGAAAATCAAACCCAGGGCATTGCTCATCCTCAGCAAGCACTCTACCCCTGAGATACAGAGAATTCAACACCAACAATTTTCAAGCCGGGTGTGGTGGTGCATGCCTGTAATCCCAGCACTTTGGAGGCTGAGGTAGGAGGATTGCTGTGAGTTTGAGACCAGTCTGGGGCTACATAGTGAGTTCCAGGTCAGTCTCAATGACATAGTGAGACCCTGTCTCAAAAAAACAAAAAAAAAAAAAATTTTTTTTTCAAATTATATTAGTTGGTAACTGAGAAAAACCTAAGATCTTCAGATTGACACAGTGTTTTCCAATGAATGTTTCCAATGCACTAAAATGTGCACATGTTCCTGAGAGGCACATCAAGAAGGAGCCCACAGCCATCAGAAGCTGCCCTGTGTGTCACTGAACTGTTTAATCAAGGCATTTGTTCCACTGCACACTTTTACGTGTAACACAGTGTTAGAGGATGAACACTGCAAAATTTTGGATTTTGGGTTTCCCTCCACTTCCCACCCCTGATTCACTTAAGCACAGATATGTGAAACAGTTTCTTAATCATGAATAGAAACACTTGTCTGCTAGCAGGTTATCCAATTTTTTTGTTTTGCTTTGTACCAGGGATTGAACTCAGGACCTTGCACTTGCAAGGCAGGCATGGTGCCACGGAGCTAAATTCCCAGCCCTGATTATCCAATTTTACTGAACATTGATTTTTTTTCCCTTGTCCTAGTCCTGGTACACCTAATATCCAGTGTGGAAGAAAACCTCATAAACTTGGTAAATGTATCTCTGATCAAGAATAAGCCCTGGAACTCCCTTGTGCTCAGAGATGGGGCTTTTGGAAAGCAGTGAGTTCTCAGGGTGACATAGCTGACTTGCTGTTGGGAGGTGAGGTCTAGTTGAAGAGGTCTTTGTGGCACGGCCAGGAGGGCCTAGTTCCCTCCTCTGCTCCTCGCTCTTCTCTCTCTCACTGCATCCTGGCTCCCATGAGGTGAGCAGCTTTCCTTTGCCATGGCCTGCTGACCATGGACTGTAACCATGAGCCAAAATAAACCTCTCCTCCTTTCAGTTATGGGTATCGAGTGTTGTATTCCAGTGACAAGAAAGTGACTAAGTAAAGAAAACCTTATCATATTCCAATCTTAATTCACCTTAGCTCTAATCTGAACTTTGTATTTCTACCCTCTAGGAAGTGTATTTAATACACATTGATAACATTAAAATGTTTAAGTACTTCACATTTATTAGAAATTACAGTATAACAATCTATAAACATATAAATATAACCCCCATCTTTATGATACCCTTTTTGAGAGTAGTTGGTGCTTTACAAGACACAAAAAACTGTCTGTGAGCCAGACATTTAGCTCAGTGGTCCTGCCACCTGCCTCACAAGTGCAAAGACTGAGTTCAATCTCAGGTACCAAAACAAAAAAAACAAAATAAAAAAAACCCCAAAACAAAACAAAACTTTGTGTCAAGAGATGTAGCACTGAGTTACACACCAGCCCCAAAACACAGTTTTAAAACCTATCCAATTCTACCATTTACTTAATAATTAATCATAATCAGTCCTACATTTTTTCGCTGAGCTAATCCTTGTCTTCGAACTTCTGAAATGTATGTTGCTCTTCTAAAACACAACATAACCATAGAGGTGAAGACTTGTTCTAATCATCATGGTCTCTATAACCCACACTTTGCTTGAGTATAAAAAAAAAATCACAAAATATAAAGCTGGAGGGGCCTGAAGACGTAGGTCCAGCCCAATTCGCAATACGTAGTAATGATGGAATTTCTCCATGGCAAGTCATCAATGTGCTTATCTAGCCTCTGCTTGGCCATCAAAGACAAAGGAAGGGAGATGAATGTTGTCATGGTTTAGATCTAAAATGTTCCCCCAAAGTCTTGTGCATTCAGAGGCTTTTAGAAGGTGCCTGGACAGTGGGGGTGCTATACTCATCGTGGATTCACCCAGGGATGAGTTCATCACTGATGAGGTGGGCCTGGGTGCAGATGGGTCACTGGGGGTGAGACCTGCGAGGCTGTATTCTTGTCCTTTCCTTCTCTGCTTCCTGGATGCCATGGGGTGAGCAGGTTCCTTCACTATGCTCCTCTACCATACCATTCTGCCTTGGAGCTGATCACCGAGAACTGAAACCTCTGAAAACTGTGAGCCAAAATGCACCTCTCCTCTTCCAGGTGTAGGTATCAGGTATTTTGTCCCAGTGATAGGAAAGCTGACTGAGACACCAATGACATTTTCCTATGTTTTCCACTCATTGTTCTGCAATTTGTAAACTTAAACAAGTTGAGAGGACCATTTCAATCTTGAGAGGCTTCAGTAAAGAGCTGGTATAAATTCCTTTTCCTTTTTTTTTTTTCTTTACTCCTTCTGTACTTTGTAGCTATGTTTTGAGCCCGTCTTTGGTTAGAGATGGAAGGGGAGAGTCAGAGTGGGGAAATAAGATCCTACAGAGTGGGTCCCTGGTGTGATGTTTATGAACAGGTTCATGAGCCCTAATTATGAAGCAGGCAATGAGTGCTCTTGACCAGCCCTGAACTCTCAAGCACTTTTAACCTCTGGGGAGATTGTGTGGGCCCACAAAGTGGTCTCCTTTAGGGGGTTCCTTTCAAGATTATCATTTCTCTAGGGCTTAAATTTGGTGCACAAGAAGCATATGCCTTACTTTTGCCCTCCTCTGGGGAAAGTATCACATGCCACCAAAGCAATCTTTTTGTTTTTCCTTTGCCAGCTACTGACAGGCTGTGGAACTCAGATTCTCTCAAGAAGAGTCAAACCAAATCTTGAAGGACATGTGCTGAGCTCTGACAGAGTGTCCCAGAACTCCTGTTCTCCTGGGAGCAGGGAGCAGAGCCCACTGGCATGTTCTCCCATACTCCTCCTGGAGGGCCTCTTCACCTTCTGCCATTTCTCTTTCAAACCTTGCAATGATGATAAACCAAGAGTAGCAAAACAGCCTCATGATCTTTTAGATTTAGGATAAGAATCAACAAATATATAGTGTACCAAAGGAAGGTCACCTAAAGGGGAAAATTTCCCATGATTCATAGAAAGCAACATGGGCAAGCAAGGCCGTGAACCATCCTGATGACTGATACTGACAAGAACTGAGAGGTTCTATGCATGGTTCCAAAGTAATGGCTGAAGAGACTTGACTGACCCTAATAGATAGCAAGAGGCTAATTCTAATTAACATAGGTCTTCCTTTAACTTGGTCTTGAACATCCAGTAGAAAAGTATAACTGAAAGATATATAAAGTCAAGAGCATAGTAATAAAGCTAGCTATATGAAGGGGCTCCAATTCTAACCCCTTCTGGCAGTTTTCAGTTACACTGGTGGCTGACCACTGTTACGAGTCATTAGGAAAAAACTATGATAAAATCTATAATAGCTCAAGAAGAGTTTTAAAATTTTTTAGCTAAAATTATTCTTCAAAACTACCAAATTTTAGGGCCAGGAATTTATCTCAGTGGTGCCTCTGCACAAGCACAAGGTCCCAAGTTTGATTCCTAGTACCAAAACAAACAAACAAACAAATAAAAACTACCAAACTTTCCAACTTTCTATAGCTAAAATTAGAAAAAATTATGATAACCTCCATCAGTGGAGGGGTCTAAGAGCCAGAGGGTTATACTTGCTATTACAATCCCTTAAAACAGTTTTAAAATCTTTCCTTAACCTGCTACTTTTCCATTCTAGTACTTATACTTTGATAATATATGCTCTAATTCAAAAGTGTTTATTCTCACCTAGAGGTTACCAACAAAGGTGTTAGATTCCTTTTACCAAGATGCACCAGATCGACTTACTTACTTTCTTTTAATAAATTTTATTTTATTTTATCCTATTCCTGCCCTCAAGCCCCGCCCCCATGACCAGATTGACTTTATAAAGAGAGTTCATTACTGCTAAACTATAACATGACTTCTATGTAAGGCCTATTAAATTGGCTGCCTACATCAACCCTTCTAAGCTCAAAACAGTTAGATAGAAACTGTGCCCCTTCTCCCCTAACCACAGTTGGGGATAGCTCTTTAGAGGGGGGAATATTATAGCCAGCTAAGTCAGTTAAACACATGATAGATACCAACCCCCCCAAAAAAACAGAACAAACAAACAAACAAACAGAAAAACCCACCAAACAGTTAAGAAACCATTGTCATTCATCTGGACATTACTGGATTTTTTTGAAAAATGTATAAATCTAAAATCTAGCAACCAAAAATGCTGGTTTTAAAGAAAATTTTCTCAACTTAAAATTTCTTACATATCATGTCCTTGGTATCATGGAATGAGGAGCAGTTACTTACACGTGAAAGGAAGCTGGCTGTAGACTGGGAAGATGGTACATTAGAATGGGCACGGGCAACAGAGGCTGGCTGGAGCAGACGTGGTTTCATTGAAGAATTTGAAGTAAATCCAGGGCCCTGAAGCTCCTGGAAAACAATATAATGTGAGCAAAATAACACCAACCTACAACTACAAAGAACTGTGAAATCAAAATGCATTTTTAAGTTCCCAGACAAAATTCATTACCAAGAATTTAAAACATATTTGAAACTTTATAGTTCCGAAAACAGATATATATTTCAGTGAAGTCTACTGTTTTTAAGAAATATACCCATTTTATAGATTACATTACTTTTGCTACTCCTCAAACAAGCCAAATGCTAGCTCTTGGGTCTTTGCTCTTACTTAAACACCCATGTGTTGAAACCTATGTGTTCATGAGGCGACCGCAGGGCAGGTACTTGTGAAACTTGTTTGTGTTTCATTTGTTTATTATCAACTGAGAATAAAATTGGTGCTTCAATTTGTTATCATATGTAAAAAGACTGTAGTGTGTGTAACAATGTACAGATTTTATAATTGCTAATATCAGATAATACTGAAAGTACATATAAATACACATAAGATATCTAAAGAAAATATAAAAGCATATCAGGCAAAAGCACTAGTTCTGCTTAAATTACTATTTATGGGGGGAAAACCTTACTTTTACATCCAAAATGTGCTGAAGTTTTAGGTGTACAGATTCCTGCTCCTGATGTTGTATTATATCTTGACATTCTGCAAACTGCAAAGATGCCTACAATCAAGCAACCACAACCTATTTACCCTCCATTCTTTTTTTAAACAGATTCTTAGTTATTTTTTTATTCTCCACTCTTTATGTGCTTTTGTGTCACAGACCTATAACTAAAGCTGCCATCTCTTCCGGGACCCCACCCACCCCTGCCTGGTACACTACATTCTAATGATCTATTACTGGATCCTTATCTTTTGCCTCCTTAGCATCTACACAGCATTTAGTGTATGGAGAGCATACAGAAGCATGACTGGCCTGAGGATAGAATGAGCAATTTGGAAAATTAGCAAAGTATAAAAATTGATACAACATAACCACAATTGAAATTCCTTGAGTCAATATAGGCCTTTGTTTTAAAGAAACAAAGCAGGCATAAATGGGACTACAGATTATTTTATCTAACCACAAAGGCTATGATTTCTTAGGGATCGAGGATTGATTTAGGTACAATTTTAGGCTTCCACAGTTTCCACTGTGTAACAGGAAGACAGATTTACCATTCTCTAATAAATTATAATGATAAATATAGTGTCACTGATCTTTCCCATTCTTTAAGTTGCATTTTCTACCTGCACTTTCTGGACCCCACAAAGTGCCAGACATTAGCACTACCTTATCATTTCATTGACATGAAAAAGAGAACATGTTCTATCTACTGCCAAGGTATCATTCTTTAATGGTGAGTTAGTACTCATGGAGGCATTTCTTCTTTATTTGGGCCACTAAAGATACCAGGAGCATCTTTCTGCTGCAGGGACTGTGTTAACCTAGAAAAGGTAACTTGGCAAACAGTATGCAATATGACTATTTCAAAGCCAGAAGAGCCTCCTCTCGATGCTAGAACTTTTCCTTGTGCTAGATGTCTGGGACACAATACAGGTTGACAGGTTCAGTCCTAGCTGCGCAGAACTTTCATTCAGAACAATTCTGTTACGGCTGAGATCTAAAGGTTCCCCCTCAAAGTCTCATGTTTGGAAGTGGGGTCTGGTTGGAGGTGGGTCACTGGGTGTGAACAGGAAGGGTGTACTCTTGTCCGTGGTCCTCCCTTCTCTCTCTGCTTCCTGGCTGCCATTATGCGAGCAGCTTCCCTCTGCTGTGCCTCCCACTGTGCCGTGACTGCCTAGGAGGCGGCCACCCACTGGCTGAAACTGTGAGCCAAAATAAACCTCTCCTCCTTTGAGTTGCGGGTGTTGGGTATTTTGCTCTGGTGACAAGAATATGGCTGATACAAATTCTATCCAGTTAATAACTGTTCGGGTAATAATTACCTTACTTATGTGGCTAATAACTACCTTATCAAGAGCAACTTCCATATTAGCAACCTTTTCTTTCAAGCGGCGTTCTTGAGACTGCAGAACTTCCAGCTCCCCGGCCATCTTATTTTTTTCTGTCGCAACAGTGCTCAGCTCCTGACTGAGTTTATTCTTCTCTTCTTTTAAAAAAATGTTTCTCCTACAATTAAAGAAGAGAAAAAAATATCGGAAATAACTTTGACATAGATACTGAGAGATATAGAAAATAAAACTTTTATTAGAGGGCCCTAAATTAACTAAATTAACATTTAACTCCTATGCCATTTACTCCAAGGTAGGCCTGGGAGTTGCCAGAATTGTATTATAACATATTCTCTATTTTCATCATTACTAGTATTATTACTAGGTTTTTTCTACTGAGGAGTGGATCCAGGACCTTCCCACTAAGCTATATCTTCAGTCTTTGTTGTTGTTGTTTTTGTTATTTCGAGACAGGGTCTTGCTAAGTCACTAATTTGCCTAGGCTGGGCTCTAACTTGTGATTCTCCTAACTCAGCCTCCCAGAGTGCTAGGATTATAGGCATACCCCATTATGCCCAGTCGATTACTTCTTTTTAGGTTAAGTCTATGATGAAATTTACAAACTATAAATTAACTGTATGTCATACAAAAGAGACAGTGTTTTAATAACTTGGGATTGAGTAATCACATACACATTTTACTGAAATTTATTTTAAATAGATTTAAATAAGATGTATTTATCTGAAAATTTTCTATTTCAAGGATTATTCATTTCAAAAATATCCATTCTATGGATTAAGAAGCAAAATCCAACAATATGCTGTACACAAGAAAAGAACCTAGTTCAAAAAGAAACTCACACACTGAAAGTAAAAGGATGGAAAACAGTTCTCCATGCAACAGAAACCTGGAAAAAAGCAGGGTCTTTTTTGCCTCAGCCTCCCTCAATGCACAATCCCACCTGATTTTATTTTTTATCTGAATATCATGTCTTTTTTTCGAGAACCTGGGAAATGAACTCAGGGCTTTGTATATGTGAGGCAAGTGCTTTACCACTGAGCTGACATCCCCAGGCCTGTCTTATCATTTTACCTGTATATCTCCAGTACTTAGCAAATTACCTAGCACAAATTCATCTTTCAATACACTAGGACAGGCACACTCACTCATCTGTCTATTGTATTTATCTATGTATGTATAGTATGGCTTTATATTCAAAGAAAACAAAGATTGGGCTCTATATACCCAGACATCTCCATATAGTTGTCCCAGTGCCACCCAAAGCCAAGTGCCCAATGCAAAGTGTCCCACACTTTGGCCCTCAAGCCTGCCCCTTCCCTAGGTTCCTCCTTATTTATTACTAGCACTGTCCTCCCAATACGACTAACTACAAACCCAAGAGTTAGACTTCACTCCTCTGATCACTAAGTTCTACTGATCCAACATCTAAAAACATTCTTAATTCCTTTCTGTTCTCACTGTCACTGCCTTCTTTCAAGTCTTCATTGTATTTCCTGGGACTACTGTGAAGTTCTCTAACAGGCTGGTATCTGTCTCTTTAGCTTCTCTCTCCTTCATTTACCTGCTGCAGCAGTGTTCTACGGTACTTAACATCCTTGCTGGCTCCAAACTTCTGGCTCTACTTCATTCCTTTGTGTTTTTGCTCCAACCAACACTTCAGAAATCACAGTGTGCTTTTCACACCTTAACACTTTTGCCCATGATGTTGTCTCTGCTTGGGATTCCTTCCACCTCATTCGTCTGCCAAATAACGTTCCTTCTTTCAAGCCTAACCCAGACGTCACTTCCTTTAGGAGGCTAGTTAGTATTCACCATTTCGGTGCTATCTCCGCATTGTAGCACATGTCCGCTGTTCTGTGAACCCCTGGCTCCACTCTCTTTATGGATCTGACTCTCCATTAGACTGTGCCACTGAGGTCTTTCTAGAACTGATTATTGTCTGGTGTAGTTACTGTGTGTGTGTGTGCACACATGTGTGCGTGCATGTGCGTATGAAGTATGTGATACTGGACCATACCAGTCATAAGCTCGTAGCTTCATGTAAGGACTTGGAATTTTCCCTTCCAATAAGCTTACATAATTTCTACACATTTCACTTCATTATTAAATCTGCAATCAGCGCTGGGGATTTAGCTCAGTGGTTCTGCCACCTGCCTTGCAAGCACAAGGACCTGAGTTCTATCCCAGGTACCAAACCAAAAATAACAAAACAAAAACCATTAAACCTCCCATCAAACTGTCTGATTCAAAGGACTCAATGTTTCTACTCCCATATAAACAAAATTGTGCAAACAATATAACTTGTGCTGAACACCTGCCTTCCTGACATCTGGATATCTCATCCTTTTTCTGGGAACTCAGCACAGGACTTGCTAGCTGGGCAGCATAACCATCTCTACTTGCAATGCCAGCTGAGATGCCCTTCTTCTGGAACTCGGATGGCCTTCTCCAGCAGGACTGCTGTACTGTAGTAGGACTGGAACTGAAGCAACATACCTGAAAGGTTGTTCAGCTCGCTCCTGCTGTTCTTCGCCTCATTCAGTAATTGATCCCTCTCCTGTTTGCTGTCCCTCACCACCCGGAGCCGCTCAGAGCCTGCATTTACCAGCTTCACCTTTTCCAACTCCAGGACACTCACTCTAGCCTCAAGCTCCCGAATCTTGGCATCTTTCTTATCTTTTAAAATCTAAACATAAGGCAGGGATAGAGAAAGAAGAAAAAAACATGGACACGTCCAAGTTACAATTGATGCCATTAGTACTCTATCTGTATTTAGTATTTTTTCATTATTTCTCAGGACACCACATTTTATCATAAAGCATTAATCAAAAGTGGGATAACAAGTGGGGGCAAAAGGAGTATTCCACCTTTCTTTTAAACTTAGATGTCAATTCCCTGTATCACTTATCACAACTTTTCATTATTTCTATTCTACATTCATTCATTCAAAAACACATATTGAGCACCTACTCTGTGGCAGGCATTATATTCTACATGTTAAGATGAAGAAGCAGGCCAGGACTAGGGAAGGTAAATAGAACCTCCAACCAGGTGACTCTCTTGCCTTACCCTAGGCCTAACACTGGCTAGCAGCAAACAAACTATACAATGTGTTTGTCCTCATGTGCATCTGTAGTCAGAAAAGACAGACAGCAAACATGTTTAATTTCAAGTAAGAGAAGTGACAAGCAGAATAAAAAAGAAGAGGGGGTGAGAATGCACTGGGTAGGGGGTTGCTACTTGACGCTGGACGGCGTGTAGAGACGTGTTCAGATAGCAGCCTGATGCTGTTCGAGACAGGCCTGCCCACAAGGCCGGCCCTGGGCTGGCATCTGGGAACTCAGACTGCACCTGCCCCCAGTGCTAAGATGGGCTCAGTGTCACAGCTGTCTATGCAAACTACATGCTTCTGCTGAGCACCTGCTTTTCTTCTGGGAGGCTGGAACCTGACTATTTACCAGGCGAGGGGTGCCTACGTGACCAGCCCCAGTACATGAATCCTGGGTACTGAGTCCTTAATGAGCCTCTGTATGGGCCACAGCTGACAGGTGGTGTCACAGTATCTTGCCAGAGAATTGTGTGTCCTGTGTAACTAGGCCAGGAGAGGACTCTGGGAAATCTGCCGTCTGGTTTTCTCTGGGTTGTGGCCATGTGCCTTCTCTTTGCCAATTTTACTTTGTTTCCTTTTGCTGTAATAAATCATAGTTATGATGAGACTCTAGGCTGAGTCCCACAAGTCCTCTCAGAGAATCATCCAATGTAGGGTTAGTTTTAGGGACCCTAACACAGTTGGTCAGGAAAGGCCTCACTGATGAGATGACATCTAAGTAGAAGCCTTAAAGAAGCACCAGGCATGGTGGTGCATGTCTGTAGTCCCAGTACTTGGGAAGCTGAAGTAGGAGGATTCCTGGGAGTTTCAGGCCAACCTGGGCTACATAGTGAGCCAGCCTGAATTACACAGCAAGATCCTGTCTCAATGGGGCCAGGGATGTAGCTCTGTGGCACTGCACTTGTCTGGCAAATACAAGGGTCTGAGTTCAATTCCTAGTACCGAAAAAAAAAAAAAAGATCCTGTCTCAAAGAAAACCCAACCACCCAACAAACCAAAACAAAACAAAAAAACCAAACACCTCAAGGAGATCAAAGAGCTCAGTGGGCAGTTGGGGGAGAGCTCCAGGTACAGGAGAAGCAATACTGTCGGTATGCCTGGAACACAGTGAACCTGGAGGAATACAGAATATGAGGTCATAGTGGGAGCTATGGTGGGGACCAACCTCGCCTCAGAGTCGTGACTGTAAGCACTTGAGACTCCATTCTGAATGAGATAAGTCACTGGAAGTGATGTAATGTTTTAAAACTGTAACTCTGCCTCCTGTCTGAAGAATAAACAGCTTGGGCTAAGAGTAGAAGCACGGAGACCAGGCAGAAGCTGATGGGAAGAACAAATGAGGAAGGTGGTAGCTGAAACCACGCTGGTTCAAGGTAGCCGGATCTGGTCTTTTGAATAAAATAGAGAATATGAATATGGAAATTCTAATTTGGCCTTTCCAACTGTCAGAGATTCCCAGCTCATATGCTTCTACAGACTCTGACCAAAGCACGACTAGTCCTTCGCAGAGGAGGTTTCCTCTCAACTTCCTTCTGATTCTTCTCTCTTTTCGGAGTACTACTACGATGCTAGTCTCTCAGACATGCAAGCATGAAGCCTCAAAGTTGGACGAGTATTTTTCTTGCCCTCACACTAATATCCAATTGTTTACCAATTCCTCTCTGTCCTAGTTTAGATCTAAACTGTCCCCCAGAAGTCTCAGGCCTTCAGAGGTAGGGAGTGGTAGGAGAGGAGTTCCTGGGGGCATGACCTGGCAGGGTGTATTCTCGTCCCTGGCCCCTCCCTTTCTCTCTGCTTCCTGGATGCCATGAGGTAAGCAGCTGTCCTCCATCATCATGCCCTTCCTCTATTCCACTCTGGCTTGCAGCCAAGCAAACATGAACTAAAGCCTCTAAAAACCTTCAGCCAAAGTAAACTTCTCTTACTTTAAATTGCAAGTGTCAGGTACTTTGTCCCAGTGACAGGAACATGACTAATACAAAAGACTGGTACCAAGGAACTGGGGCTATCGCTATGACTACCTGACCACGTGGTTTGGAAGCTTTTGGAAATGGTTTGCAGGAGTTTGCAAAGTTTTGATGACGTGGGCTAGAGAAGCTCTTTAGAACACTGTAAGCAGAGCTGCGCAGATAATTCGAGCAAGAGCTCAGAAGACCAGAATGCCAAGAGGAACATGCACATTAAAGGCCAGGCTCCATAAGGATTTCCAGAACTGTTCCAGAAAATGGCAAGAGCAATGGGATATGTATGTTCAAAGTGAGGTGGAGTATTTCTAAGTGAATTAATGGTGGCATTTTACTTTAATACCATTTTTGAAAAACATAAACACACCTTGTAGATTTTTGAGAAGCCCTTGTATACTGCCCAGGATGCAGTCCCACAGCAGTGCTGCTCTCAAGCAAATTCACATTGCTGTGTTCAGTTTCCTCATCTGTAGAGTGGGATAATAAAGTGCCTCCCTCAGAAGGCTTTTGTGATGATTAAATTAATTTTTAGAGTTTAAGACTTAGTAGGATTCCTGCATTTGTTTCCTTAAGAACATTAGCAACTGATCTTCCTCAGTAAGAAGGCAGAATGATCATCCTTTCTCCCCTGATATGTTTGCCCAGGGTACAAATCTATTCTAAAGTTTTCATTGTAGGGCTGGCCACTGAGAAGCCTTTATATGTACTCTTCATGGCAAATTTGGCCATTTAAAAATCTACAATCAAGAACAAACTCAAACAGAAAATTCTCAATTTTGGGCCATCACTTTCACAATTTGATAAAACCATGGATCCGTTCTCAAAAAACCACAATGTGCACATAGATATGAATACTTCCCATATCAGAGGAAACACAGAAACCATGAACTCCTCTTCACTAAGTCAGGCCATACTTGTTTATGAGAAAAAAAGAAATTTCAGACACAAAAGAAACACAGAACTGTACAGACCTTAAATTCGTGCAGCTCCAGTCTCCTGTCATTGATCTCTTTCTCCAGCTGGGCCTTTTCTACCTGCATGGCCCCCGCGGTGCGTCCGTGCTGGCCCACCAGCTGCGTCATGTTTTCAATCTGCTGGCGCAGGATCTCGATCACTTTGTCCTTCTCCGCCATCTGCAGCCGCAGGGCCTCGCACTGAGACTGCGCATGCCGCAGGCCCTCCCCTCAGTCTTCAGGTGCCGCAGCTCCTGCAGCTCCAGGTCCACGAGGGAGCACAGCTTGGTGATCTCTGCGTTGGTAGCCTCAATGGCGCGCTCTTTCTCCTGTATGGAAGCCGTCAGGTCTGACACTGTCCTCTCCGAGCTTTCCAGGGTCATCTTCTTGGCCGTCAGCTCCTCCACCACTTTGCGAAACATCTCCTTGGTGGACTCGAGCTGCGCAGTCAGGGAAGACACTTTCTCCAGACTCTCGTTCTTCCCCTGGATCGCTGCCATCTGATGGGAGACCAGAGAGCGCCTCCTGGATTTGGGAGGACAGGTGCAGGTAACCTCAGGGCTGCGACAAGTTAACTGCGAGCCATGAAATCCTATACTGGCTGAAGTGTAGGTACACTGACTCGAATCACTTTGCCATCACGTCTTAGACAGACAGCCTGTGTAGACCCAGTGTGCTCGCTCACACCTTGGCAGAGAGACTTTAATGAAACAATGATGCCTCTCCACAGAGGTTTCCAAGCTGGGAAACTTGGTAAGTTCCCTCCGAGGTCATTCCACACTACTTTAGATTAAGACAACAGTAGTGGTGGTTGGAGGGAGAGTGATAAGAACTGCTCTCACTTTGTTTCCCTCCAACTCCCCTGTTAGGTCTACCTGTGAAGGAAAAAGGCGTAAGGGCTTCTACCCAACCCACATTCACATCCTCTGGTGCTGGTTTAGGAAATGGTTAAGAGTCCAGCTTACACTTGCTGTGTCTTTCTTCCTGCCCCAGTCAGGCCAGAGGACAGGGACACAGCTTTGTCTCCGTCTAAGATAAGATCGGATCCTTTCCTTGGCTTTCCCACTGTGGGGTGGTCCATGTGCCTTTGTGGCTATCACCAGCATTAGAACCGTGTTCTTAGCACTGCAGGGATCTATAAGCAAGAAAGCCTCCCATGTTTTTCTCATGTGTTCTGATGAAATGCACTCAGCAGACTGTTGGTGCGGGCAGGGGAGGGATAGGGGACCCACCACTTTGGGGAAAAACCCCAAACCAAAATATATCTGATGTAAACTTCCAATCCTGGTGCTCCTTGGACTTCCCAACAGTTTGGTACTTCTCTGTACTAGAAACAAGGAATTTGTAGATTACCAATTTCTGTGTGAAAATGAAAAAGCATCAGGATGAGTTTAGTTTTTCAATAATATACAGTTGAAATAATGCCTAAAAAGTTTCATTTAACAAGTAGTCAGAAATAGGGAAATAAAAACCAAGTTTTTGGAAATTGTTCCTAGAGTCCAACTACCGTGGGGCTATTGTATAATAAAACCCTAACATGAGACAGTTCGAGGCACCTGCAGTCTCGGCTACTGGGGAGCCAAGCTGGAAAGAGCCCTGGAGCTCAGCAGTTTAAGTCCAGACTGGCTGAGCCCCATTTCAAAAACAAAAAGGAGGGTCGGGGATTTAGCTCAGTGGTTCCACTGCCTGCCTCGCAAGCACAAGGACTCGAATTCGATCCCCGGTACTCCCCCCACCAAAAGGAAAGTTTCAGCCAGAGGACAGCAAACCTATGCCCCTGGCAGAGGCTGCCCACTCCACCTGCCGCTCCATCTGGCTCTGGCACTCGCTCTTCATGGCCTTGAGCAGGGCCTCCAGGCGCTGCACCTCCATGTTCCGGTCGTCCAGCTCCCACCGAAGGTGGTCGATGGTGATGCTATTGCCCGTGTCTCGGTCCCACAGCCTCTTGTTCTGCTCCTTCTCCAGACTCAACTCCTTTTCCCTCATGTGTAGATCTGCCTAAAACAAGAAAGGCGATAAGTTCCTAGAAAAATAAGTTAACATTTTACTTACTTGACATTTTTAACATTACAAGTCAATCTCAAGGGACTGGACCTCAAATAATACACGCAATGACAAGGAAAATTCCTTAAATTTAAGAAGTCATCCTGTTTTTAAATTGGATTTTTGAACAAGGACATTGCCCTGCCTGCCAAGTGTGCTCCTGTAATAAACAAATGCTCAAAAGCTTAAAGGAATAACAATGGTAATTTGTTATACTGCTTCGGAAATGGCAGCCAGGTGTGGTAGCCCAGGCATGTAATCCCAACACTCAGGAGGCTGAGGCAAGAGGATTGCCATGAGTTCAGGGTTGGCCTGTGATTCATAGCAAGTTCAAGACTATCCTGAACTATATCGAGACCCTGTCTCAAATCCCTTTCCCAAAAAAATGGCAGATTTGGGGCATTTGGGCTGTGAATATAGAATTGCTTCCCTCTTTAGTCACTTAAACACCCAGTGAGGGGAACAAAACTCCTGTACTCAGAGCACAGGAACACTGGAGGGCACTGAGCAGGTTCAGGAGAGAGGGAGGGACTCCCAAGGTGCAGAGTGGCTGGCACACAGCTGTCAGTTTCTCCTTTGTCATAGCCCGTTAGCCCTTGCAGCCTTGAAGGATGGTGGCTCCAGCAGCCAGGCAGGATGTCCGGTCTGGGGTTCAGCAGAGAGAGAAAAATGTTCTGCTGAACCTATCGCTATCTTTCCCAGGTCTTAGCCTGTGGTGCCTCTAATAGCAGGCCAGCTCTGCAGCCTCCAGCACTGTCTGTTTCTAAAAATTCCTTCAAACTTCCTCAGAATTTCTATATGCATAATTTCTGTTCTGAATATTATTTGGTTTTAAAATCAGCACTTGGGGCTGGGGATTTAGATCAGTGGTTCTGCCGCCTGCCTGGCAAGCACAAGGTTCCAAGTTTGATCCCGGTACCAAAAAAAAAAAAAAAAAAAAAAAAAAAAAAAAAAAAAAAAAA